GGGACCGCCGCCGGTGGGCGATGGACGGGTGGTTGGACTCGCCGTGGGTCTCCCGGAGCAGAACATGAAGGGGAACCCCCCAAAGGCACTCAGGGACCAATCAGCGAGGAGGGGGCGGGGCGGGGCGTGACGTCAGGCGGAGTGACGTCAGGGCCGAAAGGAGGCGAATTAATGACGTCACAAAGTTCGGGGTCGGGGGAACCCCCCCCAAATTTATTGAATCCTCGGGGGGGAGGGGAAAGGGGGGGTCCCTTCCCGCCCCTCCCCCACCCCGGGGACACCCCGCCCCCTCCCCCGTGACGTCATCGGGGTCCCCAAGGACCCCTCAGGCTCGGGAAGGGGGGGAGGGGCCTCAATGTCGCGTTTTGGCCCCTCCCCCCCAAATTTCGGGGCCCCTTCCCCCAATTTTGGGGTCCCCCCTCTCAATTTTGGGGTCCCCCCCTCTCGATTTTGGGGTCCCTTCCCCATTTTTGGGGTTCCCCCTAATTTTGGGGTCCCCCCCCCAATTTTGGGGCCCCTTCTCCCAATTTTGGGGTCCCTTCTAATTTTGGGGTACCCCCCTTAATTTTGGGGTCCCTTCCCCAATTTTGGGGTCCCACCCCTAATTTTGGGGTCCCACCCCTAATTTTGGGGTCCCCTCCTCTAGTTTTGGGGTCCCTTCCTCTAATTTTGGGGTCCCCTCCTCTAATTTTGGGGTCCCTTCCCCATTTTTGGGGTCCCCCTCCTTAATTTCCCTCCCCCCCGAGTTTTGGGGTCTCTCCTAGTTTGGGGGTCCCTCTCAATTTTGGGGTTCTCGCCCCAATTTTGGGGTCCATGAGAACAATGGGGGGGTCCCCAAAATCCTGGGGGGGGGTCCCCCAAAGTCCAGGGGGGGTCCTCGATGTCCTGGAGGTCCCAGATTTTGGGGTCCCCCCCATTTTTGGGGTCCTGGATTTCGGGGGTCCCCCCCATTTTTGGGGTCTCTCTCCCCATTTTTGGGGTCCTCAATGTCCAGGAGAGTCTCTGATGCCCCAAATTTGGGGGGTCCTCGACGTCCTGGGGGGTCCCCAATGACGTCCTGGGGGTCCCAGATTTTGGGGTCCCCCCCATTTTTGGGGTCCTCGATGTCCCGGGGGGGGTCTCCGATGCCCCAAATTCGGGGGGTCCTCGACGTCCCGGGGGTTCCAGATTTCGGGGTCCCCCCCATTTTCGGGGTCCCAGATTTCGGGGTCCCAGATTTTGGGGTCCCCCCCATTTTTGGGG